CCGCTTCTATCACATTCTGGAATCGAAAACAATCTCTAGATGCGGTTTCCATCATCATTTGAGCCTCAGTCGCGAAAATTACATGAACACTTGGTGGACACAGATATCTCCAAAGGATTTCTCATTCAGTCTTGGGGTAAACGCTTCCAGCGGTGCACGGGAAGCGTTGCTCCGTGGAACTTAATTCATCAGAATGCTCGTGATTCTCGATCTTCCATCCTCCGCTGTGAACATAAGAGGCGGAACTCTCGTCCCCTATATCCGTGGCATGGGCATGGTGATACCGCGTTCTGATTGTCAGGATCTAGCTCAGGACGCCGCACACTCTATAGATAGGGTTAGACGTAGATGTGTGTGTCTCGCTAGCATAAGGATCTTGCCTACGTCTAAATAGATCTTCTACCCGTAGCGATCGCTGTGGAGGAAGCAATCAGAGATACCGGGATCACGGCAATCGGGACAACCGTGAGATGAACGGACGACATCACAGCTCTTACCACGGGAGCCGGAGCAGTGGCGGAGGCGGCGATGGAGGCAACCACCACTACCGCAATCGAGAATCTCCACCTGTTCCCCCGGTGCAGGTGACGTTCGACAGTCCGAACCATCGGGAAATCGTGGACTTTTTCCAGCAGAACTTTGACGGCATAAGCGCACCCGTAGTTTACCAGCCACCTGCCCCCGCTGCGGCGCAGGCGGGGGTCTAGGACGAAGTCGGCGGTGGTGATACTCATTCAACAGAACAATTCAACCGTGAACGAATCCAAATAGGGCGCCATGATAAGAGATTGCCACTACAACCGCGAGAACAGCAGCAACAAAACCTGCAACAACAGCAACATCGTCAGTTTCTACAGTGTCAGCAGCGACCAGTACAACAACAACAGCAACAACAACAACAAGCTCATTATCGGCATCAGCAAAGGGATTTCCGGAATCATTCGCTAGATCAGCGACGGCAACAGCCGCCGCAAGAGCAGATGATTCACGGAGTTCAACGGTCGGTGTCTCAACCACAGCGAAAAGTTCAGCATCAGCATCGGCTACCGCAATCCGAATCGCTTCTCTACGGGATTTTCCCGAGGGAAGATTCTCGCGACTCTTTCGTCGAGAGAGAATTCATGTTGAATCGGAGTTCAAAAGACCAAACTTCTGCTCTCAATGAAAACTCACAGCGCAAATTGAAATCTGAGATGAAGGCGACGGATGAAATTCTTCCTGCTCTCGCCACGTACCTATCCCCGTCCGCTAGACCGGGTTCTCCAGAAGTTTTTTCTGGAGCCCATGGTTCGAGCTTTTCGACGCCAGGATTCACTGATGAGCATCTCTCCCGTGACTCAGCGTCGATACCGTGTGGTTTTGATTCATCCGCCGATCCGTGTGGAACTTCTCCAAAAGAAACGTCAAACTTGAAAGTTGACAACCGACTCGAAATTTCCGAATTATCAGCATCCTTGCCCCTTTCGAAGCTCGACTCTCCCTCACCTGTGACGCCTCCGGTCCTCGTCAACGGCTGGATTTCGGATTCGGGCGAACTGTCCGGAGAACACCAGTGTCGCGAAAATCGATTCGAATCTGAAAGAATGATCTCCGAAGAGACAATCCGAAACTCCAAGGCGATTTCCAACTGTTCCAGCACGGATTCCGAACCTTTGCTCGATATGCCCGGGGCGGTCGGAGATTCAATTCAGACCCGAGCGGCCCCTACGGAACGAGGAGGGCGAGAAGCGGTTCGCACCCTCTCTGACCAGTCTCGAGATTCCTCAGAAAAATCAACATATTCAGCTCCGAAGAAAGATTCGCCGGATCTGGGCGCTGCAGTACCGCTTCGAGAACTGGTCCCGAATCGGGCAAATAGTAAAACGTTATTGGGACACGGTACGCTCCCGATCGAGGGGTCAATCTCAGATATCTCTTCGACTGAGCCGCCTCCCTTTTGTTGCTCGGATCGGCTGGATGATCCTTTGTCCATTCCGACCAGGAATCTCCAGATTGTTGGATCGGACGGTGCGAGAGACGCGGAACTCCTGGAGCTGCCGCCGACAGAGTCAAGCGCTGCCGTCTCGAACGATAGTTATAGTTTTTTACTGCGTGGGAGGAATTCGATTGAAGCATCAAAAAATCCGCCAGAAGTTCACACAGTCGTTGACCCGGCACAGACGGAACCGCCCAACGCGGAAGCCACTCCGTCTTGCGAAACACTGTCAATCACATCGGAATCATCGATCGGGTCAGAAACGGCACTGCGCGCGCATACTTCTCGATCGTGTGGAACCTCGAAATCGTCATCGACGCTCGAGGCACGAATACCGGAATCAATAGAATCACCTCGGAAGACAGGTTCAGCGCTCGGTCCACAGCTGCAAGCTCGTTCAAGGGAAGTCTCAGAAGAAGTGGATCAAGAGAATTCGAGCAGTACCGAGTGTGGTCTTAGCTTTCACGATCAGAATTCGATTAGAAAACGCTTGCCTTTGCATAATCCAACCGATGATCCTTCTGGTACCGAGAACGAGCTGGCTGAGTACAGAGCCATGAGAAAATTAGATGACGAGCGCTCCAGCGACATACAGCGATGTACAGTATTTATTACAGTGATGGCGCTGATTACCCTTCTGATTTCAGTGATTAGCGTCTATTTTTGTTTTCATCTCCGGCTGTATATTTGACCGTTATCGAAGGCGTCCCAATTCCTCCATCGAGGCACTCGATGACGATTGCTCCCTCTCGACAGTTGCAGTCGTTCGAGAGTTGCAAGTAAATCGAGGAGTCTGTGTGAGGTTCACAATAAGAGTTAGATGTGAGTAGAGTTCGAAATGATTCGACTGACTGCGGAGAGGATTGGGAGTATCATACAGAGTAATCTTATTCGAAGGAAATTTGGGTAAACGCGAGCCCTCTTAGTTGTAACCTCGCGAAATAATTCAATCTGAGAAAAAAAGCGATGGCCACGATGGAAACAATGAGCATTTTCTGTTCTTCCCCTTCATCTATGGCTCCCTGTATCTCTCTGTTCTGTATTTGATTCAATACGATTGTTTCATTCAATCCATCTCTTATAAATGTTGTTATTTTTGATTTTGATAAGTTGGTTTTCTTTCGCTCCTTTCTCTTCGATAGCTCATATCAGATTGCAGTAGGCAGTCGAAACAGGTCCTTGGGGTGGAGCGCTGTCCCCCTGATTCTCCTGATGATTTGAAGTAGGTGCCAAGTGCTGAAGTTTCGGTGACACACTGCAGCCTCTGCTGCGAGCAGGGCGGCGAAGGAGCTGGAAATTAGTGAAAGAGGAACGAGAGCGCCGCATTGAGCTGAGACCGGATTTTCCGACGACTCCCATCGAATCCCCACATCCCCCTCTACCCCGCGGAGAGATGAACCATCCACCCATCGGTTAAACGATCATTCCGCTGAGCGCGTGTGTCGAGCGAGTTATCCAACAGTGAGGTTCAAGAGCTGATGATGATAATTCCGTGGAGACCCACCGCCGTAAGGTTTCCAAATTCAGGATTATATAAATACTTATACATATAGATAAAATTGAGAGCGACATACATATATATGCGGAGAGCGCCTACTTTTTACATACGACTCTGCTGCGAAAGGGCTGCTCTATCAATCAACTCAGTTCTGAGCATGAATCGCTTTAGAGATCGCCGAATGGTATCGTCAACATCGTGCCATTGCTGCTAAGACAGGTTACTTCGTGAGCCACGCCTTCCACGACAAGTTATATCGTACGCCATCGCCGGGTCTGTACAAGCAGTACGGAAAGGCGACCGTAGATTTGCCGACGCTGTGAAACACAACCGGAATTTTATTGAATGTTTCCTTCTCTTCCGAGTGAATGAAATTGTTTTCTTGACTTGCTCGACTTGTTTTCCTTTCTCTTCTCCGGAACCGATAGCCTGAATTATTCAGCTCTTCAATCGACGCTTTCATCATCCCATCCTCGAGATGGGATCCCGGCACGAATGTTCCGCTTCCGTCGTCGATAGAGGAGGCCGACGTTTCTGTCCGGGAGTTTAGCACCGATATACTTAGAGCCTGGCAGTCCAGATGAATTCTTCAGGATCCGGAAGATCAGAGGAGTGATCGATGAAGCTCGGCGGAGGGAGCTGCTAGGTGAGAGATGCTCGAAAGGACGATTCTGGAGGCTCGAAAAGTCGTCACACCATATTGGACGGGATTCTGGAAGTGCTCCCGGTTTCGATATCCGCCATGACATTCAGTCGTCCCAAGTGTCCCTCTCAAAGGGTCTGGTTGTCTCTTCTCCACTCCGGGCCATCCGCTGCAATCTTCATAATTCGGAGGTTCTGCGACAATTCGGTGTGGCGTCAAACTTTGTGACTGGACAAGATAATTGATGAAGCGGTGAAAGGAATACTCATTCGTTTATTTCTAGTATCATCATCTCCAATGATCTCAATCCTATCAATCGTCTTTCATTCCATCGACCCTCCCGAGACTTCAACATGTAAAAGTTCTGTACATATCATTTTAATTTAGGTGGACATTGCATCGACTTCAAAGCGGCGTATGAATCCAGTCAGACATACGAGGAACGAGGAGCTTCCATCGTGAGTAAGATTTGAATCGATGGGATTGCTAGTCTCGTGAAATGATCAGCAGTCGGTGCATTCCGCAGACGCCGCTTCCATGGATGGAATACGAATCCTTGGAATCCAGAAAAATAGCTCCCGACCAAGGAAGCTGCTCCGCAATTCTCGAGGTAGCGGCTTAAGGCCGGACTCGAAGACCCAGCGAGCCCGCTGATCGGTTGATTGATTGATTTGTATGATGTCGCAATATTTACAGAAACATGGTGAGCCTTTTCCAACTGGACTGATTCAAAGCCTCCTGATCCCCTCGAGGTTGAAGATCCCAATATTTTCGGGCTGTGCGTATTCTGCCGATAGGCTTGGTGTCAGAACTTGTTCATAGCGGCTTTTTAGTGGTTTTCTCTCAGCCGGGATATAATGTGACCGAAACAAATCTCATCAAGTTCAGACGTAGGTTATCGTCGCCGGGTCAGCTCTCGCGATAATTGTTGCTCCGTTTGCATAGTTCTTGGCAGTTTCCTCCGGTGAAGGCCGATCAGAGTTCGTGGTTGACGAGGCTAACGACCTTGTCAATGTCGAATCGAGAGTATTCGTGGATTGCATCCCCGCGCTTGACCGCAGCGTGGCTGTGCCGTCTTGTAGAGTCGACTGCGAAGAGGAAAGAAATCAGGTTAAACATCCGAAGTAGGATACTAAATCGAGGGAATCGTCACCGTATAACAGGATTGTTCTGATCGATTATTTTCTTACTTTATAAATCGTCGAAATCATGTTTTCGACCTTGGTATTCAAGCTCTTCTCGGCTTCGAGTCGTTTTAACCAATTGCGGTAATACAATCGCAAGGCCGGCGACACGAGTCGAGGATCGACTTTCGCAGACTGTTTCAAGCCTTGAACGACCGTGAAGAGGACGCCCAGGCCGAACGTCAGGGCGAAACTTATGACGGGAATCCACAAGTAGGAAATGGTGTAGATACTGCAAATATGTAGGTTAATAGTCGCGGAATCGCTCGGCGACGGGTTCTTCTTCAGCTCGAGAAATCGTTCGAGTTCGTCACGCGAACAACATGTACGTAGACAGAAAGAACCCGACCGGAAGTGAGTCAAAACAACGCTTGTTCTTAGTTTTATCATGACGATTCTGTTGATTAAATACCTTGATGGAGGTCTGGCGTGACCACCGATCGGCACAGACACGGTGTAGTTATATGACGAGAAACACTCTTTCACCGACGTGAATTGAGAATAGTGCGTCGGCTTCGGAATCAGAATCGAACCGATTGCTATCCACAGCGACACGGCCGTTCCAATCACCGTGGACGTCAGTGCCGCCTGAAACCACAACAGTCGATTAGACACCACCGTGAAAGTTACCACAATTCTTATCGATGTGCCGGTAATGATATTGATACTCGACGTCATGGGAGCGCTTACCCTCCCACCACACCATGGGAAGAGTACTCCGAGGAAGAATAGACCCCCTACGGCGCCGGTGAAGGATCCGCCGGTGGCGATACTTGCTTGCACGATCGAGCGCAAGTACGACGCGAAGAATGCGACCACGATCGTCAGTAGGCCGAAGAAGGTTGCTTGGGAAGAAATGGAGCCTCAATAAATTAAGTAGTCGTCGCTGTTCTAGAATTTGATTTTTTACTCGAATTCGCAGAAATGAGAACTTCATCCATGAAAATAGAGGACTCTGTTGGGAGAGTGAGATTCTGTCCGGGCGTGTTCTAAAGTCTCACCGATGGCTTTAGTCAGTCGCATGATGGACAAGTTGGTCATCCTTTTCCCGAGCGTCGGTGCCATGAAGTCTTCCCAAACAACGGCTGACAGCGCATTGTAACCGGACGACATCGTGCTCAGCGATCCCGAATATGCCGCCGAAACGAACAATCCCGCCAGACCGGGATAGTCGGAGAACCTTTGCAGGACATAATGCGGCATCAGCTCGTCGTATTTTCGCAGGAGACCCACTTTGATGGGATCGCACGTCCTGTACTCCACAAACAAGACCAAACCGCAAATGCAAGCGACAGTGAGGATAGACGCCACGCCTATCATGTTCGAGTAAATAGAGACGCGTGACCTCGCCTTCGTCTTCACGGAGCAATATCTCTGAACCATGGTCTGATTGCAGCCGTAATTTATGGCCCACACCACAGTCCAGCCGATGAACACGCTCCACACTGTGAAGGTTCGTTGAAAATCCAATCGAAAGCTGTAAATTCGAGCGAAAAACGTGAGTTCATGACCTTCGCTGTACTTCGGGTGGAAACCCGACCGGAATCGGACGATGCGAGAGAGCAGACTGAAGTACGTTGCAGCATTTGAGATTGTTCCTTGTCAACTCGGAGAGTCAGAAAGGAGATCTCGCCCCCGACCAGGAGGGCGACGGCGGATGCGAAAATCGCGGCGAGGGATATATGTTGGAAACCGATTCGATCGACAATGAAACTCACTCGAATTCCATGAGACCGTATCGCTTTGATTCGTTGAAGATGTTTGCTAGGCCTCCCCTGTCAAGGATCCCCGTGAGAAAGACCATCATGAATCCAGACAGCATTAGGAGCATCTGGAGAACATCCGTCCAGACGACGGCTTTTATTCCACCCTGGAAACGTAATTAACGCAATTAACATACTTGTCCTCTCGCTCAGCAACCCCACTCGAGTCTCGGGGTCGCGAGTGAGTCCGGTCTCTATTTTTTTCACGCCAGCCATACTGACGGCGTTCCTTATCAGATCTATCAAGAATGTATTCGATCGAAGACAAGAGATACACTAGAATGAGAGGATCACTCACAAGTGACGTGTAGAGAGTACAGACAATCCCGTTAATAATGATCGAGAGCCACACCGGCAAACCTGTCACCGAGCCGAGAGTCAACGACGGTCCGTAGAGAACGACGCCCAAGTAGATGCACTGATGGAGAAAACCAAAATTCAAAATTGAGGGGAGTTCCTCCATGACGCGGGATGTCATTTTTCCAGTTCGTCATGGAAAGATAGAACGATCCAGGTGGGCGGTCGAGGAGAGAACGCACTAAGAGAATAGGAATAGAGAACCAACCTGATTGATGATGTACAGCAGAGAGGCAAGTTTCCGCAAAATTTTCGAATCGAATCGCTGCTCCAGATACTGCAATACGAACGAGGGAAGTGAACGAGGGAACGAGTAACGAACGAGGGAAGTGAATCAGAGAGAACACGGAATCCGTTGGATGGACGTTTCCCTATCCAGGGAATGGTTTTCCTCCATCGAAGTATCTCGAGAGATTTCTCGCGATTTTTCCAGCAGCTCCGCTCAAGAACTATTTGTTCGCCAGAGCTCTATGGCTATGGGTGAACCCCGTGCGTCTCTGCTTGAGGCAAGAGCCTGGTGGATTCATGAACCCCACAAAGGGAACGTCTCGGAATCTATCCGCTTCGACCTTGACGACGAATAAAACCACAAGAAGGTGGTTCATCAGGATCACAAAGCTCCCACCTGACGGTGCCGCTATCATTCATTACACAACTCTCCCTATTCCCTAATCAGGCGGTGGATGCTCGGATAAGCATCGATCGATGGCGAGGTGCTATTCCCCGAAAACTGGTTCCTGCCGCGAAATTGACTAGCAGATGTATTTCTGCGTTTTCTCCGCGTTTCGTGTTTTCCTTTTCTTCAAGCTATCCAGCACTTCTTTCTCCCATGAATCCCTGCTGATGTCTGTTCATATCCAATGGGCCGATCGAGTGCATTCATGCACCCAACGACTAGACTGGTTCGGCACCTGATCGAGCAGTGGGAGATCGAGATCTCATCTCTTAACACAGGTATCGTGTCCTACTTCCAGGACGAGACGATCCAGCAAGCCTCTCATTTTTCCTCTTTTTCTTTTCGCTGTATCAGCGCGTCCGATGTATTTCTAGCGCACAGCGCTGAATGTTCGGCTCTTTATTCGTCGAATCGTCACCGAAAGCAGCCACCGAAATGACCAAACAAATTGTGACTAACTACGTCAACAAGCTACTGCACGTTCTGCAGAGCGTTTCTCTCTACTCACGAAGTTTCTTGAAGGTAAGCTAATTCTGCTCTGTAACCGCTATCGACTCGCTTTACGACAACGAGAGGGAGTGCATCAGAATAGCCTTCCCTCGGAACAGACCGATGAATCGGTAAACGGTCGCGAGCGCAAAATTCTCATAGGGAGAAAACTGGGTTAAAATGTCGGATTTTCGGCGTCAAACCGGGACGAACCAATTCACAAAGCAAACATGATCGTTCTGCTGACACGAGAGCTGCGAAATCTTGCCTGCCGGTCACCATGATCCATACACGCTCAAGCGCCCGGACGCATACGGGGAACCGGAAATTCAGTGAGCACCAGCGAAGCAAGGCTCACCATCCTCTGAGGGACATTCGCCGAGTTCCCAAATGAGCGGGAAATTCCGCGTGAGCCTGCGGGAATATTTTTCCCTCGCAGCGGGCGATGATCTGGTCAATCATGAGTCGGACACGTGGATATCCCATCGGACTCGCGGTCGAGCTCCTTCGCGGAGGAAGATGTCGTCGATTACGAAGAGCGCTCTCGGCGTGGACCTTATCGCGGATTACAATAATTAGCGGAGTCGGCATTCGAGCAGCTGGCTGAAAAGAGCATGTCGTGCGAGACAGTGGCCACGGCTCAGGGACCCCGGCGGGGGGGGGGCGTGTATACGAAGTCGAACAGAAGCCGAAATAGAAAAAAATGGAAACGCTCAGACTGAGTTGTCAGGACACGACGGCCGTTTGTGAACCACGTTCTCGTCAACGTCATCCGAATGCGGCGGCCATCGCGCGTCGGTTTGTCGACTCTCTGAGAAAGCGATCGACGCGAACTGAGCGACCGGCGACAGCGAGAAACGAGACGTATAGATGTGCCAACGGGGCTTAAGCCAGCCGGAATATTGACAAACGCGATTTGTAGATTTCCCTCCGCCGTCTCCCGCCGTCTACGACCAGACTGGGCGTAGCTGCTCATCTTTTCGAGCCATGCCGAGCGGGATTCGAGCCAGAAATGTCATTCCTGACTTTTCCTCGGTCGCCTCATAATCCGGGTCTCTGTCGCCCCGTTTCTTACGGAAGCATGCATATCAACATTTCTCATTCGAGCGCTAACCTCTCGGAAAGCTGTCGAAGTACTCGTCTGCTGAAGAGGTTAAGTCGTTTTCAGCGTTTTCAAGACCTCTTCAGCTTCCAGAGGACCCTCTCGAAGCTGCGTGTCTACGGTGGAACCCAATCCCGATAAATTATTAGGATTAGGAGATAATCATCCTTGTATAATCTAAATTGGAGCAATAATTTTTCTGGTACAAATGATAACGTTCGAAGGCGGTCACTGAATTTCGCGATTTGTTTTCTCAGGCCCACCCGCAACTGGAAGCTCTGGTCGACACTCATATCACGAAACCAACGTATACTTTGTTCAAGTCGAGCTACCGGTTCATGATCAGATGCTCCAAACCCTCGAAGAAAGAGTACAGGAAAATGGCCGCGTCCACTTTGACTGGCTTCGCGATTATGGGTTTCATCGGCTTCGCTGTCAAGCTTGTCCACATACCTATCAACAACATCCTGGTGTAAGTACTACCTACACCGCTTTGAAAATTTGCGATCGCTTCGTCTTCGTGTTCCTCGTTAGACTCTACAACCGGTCAGTCGGTCGCGAGTCGAGTTTCCAGTGTTTGCCGTGATCCCGACTGCGGGCATTCCTTACGTTTGCAGCCGTGCGCTAACTCGATCGCTTGCTGAGCAGTGCAGGTACTCACTACTCATGAAGCTACCTCCGGACCACTCCCTGTCACTTCCGCGTGTAATGAAGGCCGCCCTCCTTCACGTCTTTTGGGCTGAAGCCCACGGATAGCAAAAAATGCTCATTCGAGGAAAAAAGCCGCGTCTAGAGCTGTCTGAATCAGAGCGAACTCTCGCATTCGGAAGTTCGCTCACGACGCCTAGCGCGGGCGGTGATCATTATCCTGCATCCTCGGGGTTCGAGCTCCCATTCTCCTCTCCGCAGTTGACGTCGATATCGACTGCGATCAGGACTTCTCGGGCGTCCGCCGACCGCTACCGTACGTTTAAGGTCGCTCGAGATTCCTTATCGAAGGTTTGGAGCTTCCAGAAGGAGCCTTTGCGGGCATGCTCCTTGGGGCATCGCGCACCGATCATTCTCCAAACACGTTCTACGTCGACGCGACGACGCGGCGCCGGCGGGAGGAGCTCGCAGCGGAGACCTCGCACGCCAAGTCGACTCATGTGCTCGGAGTGCCGACGTTCTGTTCTGCCCATTACTCACGATCAGCGCGGTCCTCTTGCTGAATAAGAATTTCACTCTCCGGACTTCCCCAAGTGGCCCGTTATCGTGAAAAGCACCCCGGAAGCCTGCATTCTATAGTGTCGAAAAAAGCGCCCGCTCGTTGCCGAAGACAAAACTCGGCACCTGACCCAGAAGGTCTTGGGACGACCCCCCCCTCGCGTATGATTACTTCGCGACTCGGTCAGTCAACCTCTTCGGGATCCTCAAGGTCCACTATTGACACCTATCCTCGATCACGCCCTATCAGAAAAAGCTCCGCGTTCATGAGACACCAGCGAGCCGAAAAGCCTGGGGGAGCTCACGCGCGAGAGCTCGGGGACCACACGCGAACTTTCCAAGAGCAAAAGTTCACAGAGGTATTCCGACGGGAAGCGCGATCCGTTGTACCAGTATACGGTTTCTATAATTTTCTGCCTCGGTGTGCCTGAGTGTATGGAGTCGCGTGACTCTGGAAATCACGAATTCGTATTGGCTCCGATCGAGAAAAACGTTGGTCGGCCTTGGCTCGAGCAAACACAGCCCGCTGAGTAAAGACCGAAGATCACTCGGCTGGTGACTCGTTTGAATATGCTGCCAGCGTATGAGAGCCGATGGAATTCCGACGAGGAAAACTTCATTCTGGTTCGATCAGCATGTTGGCGCAATTGTTCACGCACAATTACTCGGACGCCGCTTCCAGCACTAGACGCAGAAAAAGGCCAGGCATGAATGATTTTCGGGACAGCCAACTACGAAGCTGAGTGAGGGACACTCGTCCGTCGGAGGGTGGAAACCAGAGCGCCGCGACACTGCGATAAACTCGATTAGAAGACGGAAGATTCAAAGAATGCTGTCTGAATCCGGCCTTCTAACACGAACTTCTCGCTGCAGGAGATAACGAATTTGTCCTGCTCGAGAAAGCCCGGCACTTATCGTTGAGGAGAGGAAAAGAAAACAAATCAATGAGCTTCGGATAAAGAATCGACCGCGTCGATAATTATTGACAGCTCCCTACCTCTCGCGATAACGCAACACCCAACCGACGCTTTCGATATAATATCATATTCACGTGGACGATTGAGTGACTGGGCGTGAACCAATCATACCTCAATGGCTACCGTCGCAGAGCAGCGATCATTCGAGGCGGCTGAATCGGGAAAACTATCATGTCCATTTTTTGAAAACCGAACGTGTGGTTACAGAATGATTTACTAATCGAATGAGGTGCGATGCTTCGCATGTTGAGATAAATTTCGCACCGACATCCATTCGGAGCTCGATCATCCCTCAGATTCCTCGGTACATGAAGTTCCTTGCCTGAGAGCTCGGGAGAAATCGGAAGTGGATGGTGTTATTATCCCTTTTGTACATCGCCTTCGAGTCTCAACATTGGCCCCCTAGCACACGGATAACGGTACACAGTGTCTCCGAATATTCTTCCGAAGTGAGTTTTTTCTCGGATATTCGGATCATCATCCGATGGGACCGTTTCGAAGGTACGGAATCGCATGCCCGGAATGACTTATCGAGAGCAACCTGAGAAAGATTGACACGGCATGAATATATCCAGCGTAAATCACCTGTGTCCGCGGATTCCCTTTCCGGCGATGACCTACTCGCCCACAGTGTCGTTTGTCAAAGCTTTTCCCCCCTATGTATGAAGAGTGTCGAATATAAGATTATGCAGATTACTTCCCGTGAGCGAGCAAACTGGAATGACTTTTCGGCTATTCCGAACGAGAGGCATCTCAAAGAATTTTCGGCGGGAGCGACTCGCATAACGACGCTATTTCTCTGAAGAGTTGAATTGACGTCGAATACATGTGCGAGCGAAAATGAATTGCGCCGGGATTCCTATCGACAGCGCTCAAACAAACATTTCGATCATTCTCCGTCTTGTCTCGTTGCAGAGGACCCAAACGCTAACGCTCGACCGACAGCGCGAGACGACTGCAGAAGCGATTTAGAGAGCATGTCCCGACCATGGAGAGGAAAGTCCTACGACTTTTTGTGTGTGACATGATATGATAGGTTTCTGCGTGTAACTCCGATGCAAAGCATCAAGAATAAAGGCCAATCCAGAAAGTTATCGACGACACGATAATTTGGGTCAAGAGGGAGACGTCCGGATACTGATTGCCGCCAATCCGTTCTGCTGCACAGGAAAACATCCCCGAAAATAAAGACGAAATATAAGAACGAGCTCTGCAGCAATGGAACAATTCATGAAGCGGAGCCCGATTTTCCGGAAACGGTATGGAAGCGTACAGGGGTACGGGGCCGGCGTCAAAAGCATCAAGGAGACAGAAGGTCTAGCCTTTCCTCCCTATGCGGCGGCAGGTCCCAGATTTCGAGTCATGAACGGCGACCACGACGAATCGGTGACATTCACGTATTCCGTGCGAGTGTCTTTTTCGTCGCCGAACTCATCATTGGTGATGGCAAGGAACCTCATCTTTCGGATGATTCTCGGAGCCCGCGTCGAACTTCATGCTTCGAACGAATCAATGCCGCGGACAGAATAAAAGCGCTACAAGGACGTTTTTCGGGACTTGATCCCTGAACACCATTCAGGACAGAATTTCTCACTTATAGGGGAAGTTTCCGAGCACTGTGCCTCGGAAATTGAGGACGAGCGTTCTTCGATGCCCGTCGCCGACGCGAACGTCGGTACGAAACCAAGCTGTAACGACACGTCTCGGGACTCGGAACTTTGCTCTCTGATATTCCTAAGAACCTGAGAGAAACTCGTATTTCTAGTGTACCTGAATCGGAAGCTGCCGCAATCAGGATTTCCGCCTGAAGAATGCAGAACTGAAGACCCGCGTCGTTTCGGCCAGGCTGCGGAGCGATAATTCTTTCAACGCCGAAAACGTCGCTCGGGCACGATAGTCGGATAAATACTTATATACGGCCAGAGTCATAATTGCCGCCACGGGAACATGAATTCGAGTATGTGACCAACAACTCCGGGCACGGCACAGTAGTAAGCGTTCGTGAAACTTTCCGCGGAGCTGCGATTGGAGTGCCGTTGCTAATGAAACTCGGGCAGAACTCCGTCGGACAGCACAGTGACTAGCTGATAAATCATATTAGACACAGAAGCAGCCGGTCATTCATGGCATGATTTTGTTGACCACCCAGAAATGGATGCCGTCGCCGGAGCGTCGCTGAGATGGGAGGGAGAGAAAATAAATCGAATGGAAACAACTCGAATTCGTGATCCCACCGAAGAACAATGCGTAATCCATGCCGATCGAGTCAGGAAGTTCGCACCGGGAGCGGAAATTGTGCCTCAAGGATGGAATTTATCAACCTCTCGGCTGCGTTCGACTGGGGGAACTAACGTGATTCTGATTGCGAATCTACGAGGCTTGGTGAAGAATCTCGACCTTTCCTTGAGGATTTCCCCAATGACTGAGCTTTTCGTGGCTCCCGATGCAGCCGATTCTGACCTGGACTTGCAGGATCGGGTCAGACTCCTGATAGCGCTGGGGCGGAATTCGGTCAGCAATGTCTCCGTCCGGAATTCGGAATCAAGTTTTTTTGTTCTCTGAGAATGCCACACACCGGAAAACGTCATTTCTCCGCCTGGACGATTCTCTTACTCCTGACGAACACCTCGCCCGTGGTGTTTCTGCCCATCTGTCGACCAGACACGATATTCGTTTTTACCGATAGACTTTTTTTGCTTTTTTCCCTGTAAATCAGCACTCCAGCATTGACTGTCCATCTATTCCTTAATGACAGTCCACGTTTTCCCATCCTATCTCTTGGACATGCCATCCGTGGAGAAATCGTGCGCGAGTCGAACATGGGAGGACCACCTCTGATGGAAGCTCTATTCCTAGCTCCCGTCACAACGCAGTAACCCCCTCGATTCTTCCGGAGCGCACCAGATCTGAACTGTTCCGCGGATCAATTGATGTAAGGAAAAACAAAGGATTTCGGGAAATCGCAATTCACTTCCCTCCTGTTTAGCACAAATCTGTAGGACCCGTGCTCAGTCCTCCCGTAGGTACCAGAGCGAAAACTATCAACTGAGGTCGATCGAACGGAGTTCTGTTTGCAGAGCCACTCACCGCGTTGATCGATACGGAATCCATCTCGTAGAAAATCGGCATGAAGAATTCGGCAGCGATGAAAACTCCAACCACGGCACCGGCTGCGACGAGCACGTACTGGAAGCCGAAGACGAATATCTCCGCCGGAAACCCAAGGAAGGCAATAGCCGACAAAAAGGTTGCCATCATGGACATCGTCACTGGGAACACCTGAAACGAATCAATTGTGTATGTAGTTCGAATGGTTGTTCGGAAGCATTCAGCCAATGGGTTGTCTTCTAACCTCGAGGCTAGAATAACCTCCGGGCTTTGGAACGGGACCCATATCCGCGCTTCGTTCGGATCGGAAATCCAACTGGGTTCCTACAGATTCGAATCTCGGTACCGTGCGAATGATTTGGTTCGGAATCCTGCTGGGCTGGGTTGAGAGGAAAAACAAAACCATCGGGCTAAATCCACGAGGACGCGCGGGAAAGCTCTTGAGCAAACAAGAACAGAACATCTCTTGATGTCGAATTGTGGGATTTCTTTGTTTCCCACCCAGAACGTATCTGAATAATCCGTCCACCGACACCTCGAACTCCTTCGCGGTTCTAGATCGCCGAGATTCACTCAAGCGACGTTGTTCGTGTGACTGGCTCACTGGCTCCACGTTCTTGCACGGGAGTTCACTTGTCAGCTAATAGATATTTTTTCTCGCTTTTTCAATTTCGACATCGCGGTGGGAAACACCCCGCCAAGGGTCGTCGTTGTTCGCTCGAAACGCATCGGGGAAGCAGAAATACGGTAGTTGGTAGACGACCAGGGGACAAGGCGAAAACATCCCGATACGGTGGGGATATTCCGCGCGAGAGGAAGTCGTAATCGACAAAGAAAGAAAGAGCATATTTCCTCGAAGAGTGCCATCAAATAGATGCTCAATGGAAACCTTATTCTCCTGCCGAAGCTGCGAAAATCTCAATGCTGTCGATATCGCCCATCTTTATCAGAACTGCGCTTCCAGAGAGGATTGGCCCATTCTCGTGCGAAAAACATTCGATATCTTTGGTTCCATCTTCCCATACGGAGCGGCGTGTGGCCGAGCATACCCACGTAAGATGCTTTCCACAGCTTTTTTCCTGAGAGGGGAGAAGAAAATCTCGCAGTGACACCGAAGACGGGGATGGCGACAACGGCGACGCGACGTCGATGGCTCGGAGAGTTACCGTAAACGAAAGAGGTCAGCGTCATTAGTAGCCTAAATATCCGACAAGGTATCCGATTTTTCTCTCAAATGTTGAACGGCCCAGAGTGGCTGAGTCGCCGTACGCGCCGATGGATTGTACGGTTACGGACAACTGTCGGACGCGTTCAAATATGGGAAGGAATTCCAGGGTAGATGTACCTAAAAACAGACGGTTCGCCTTTGTTCCAGTCCCAGGAGAGCCAGGCCCAGAGGAATCACGAGAGAGCAAACCTCAATCACGATCGGGAATATTATAGTCCGATGCGCGATCGATTCTCAGCAGAATAATTGGCACCAGACCCAACGGTAATCGGCGAAAAACCGATCAGGTACGCAAAGTCGCCGATCCGAGTCCAGCGTACCCGCCTGGAGACAGAAGTAGTTTCTTGAAGCGCTTACTATCATTCCCTTGATTTGTTGCCAAGGAACGGTACAGGGTTTTTTTTCACGTCCAAAATATTCTCCAAAATATTCGGTATCAGGGCACGAGACGATTGCTTTCAGCTAGAAATCGACCCATTGGTGAAAAAGGATGACAGGACGTCGCAAGTCTTGTGCAGCATGGTCCTATGCCTCAAAAAACTTTCTCTACATTTTAACGACGATCCTCTACTCCAATGAAGACCAACAACGCCTCGACGGGCGTGATCGAGGGCACTTGCGCTCAACATCTTCGATTCTGGCTCCGAGCCATCGAAGACCGACATCAGACCACTTCCAGGTACCGTTAACGGGTGTACCCAATATTCAACGCGAGGGAAAGGGAGGAAAAACATTTGAAACACTTCGCCCGACTCACGACTACGCAAATGCAATTAGGATTCTCCGAAACGATGTGTCTTTCTTCTGGGGAACTATTTTCCGCAAATCTCCCTCCCGAAAACCGTCGGACCTACTACGCATGATACGTATCGAAATCTGGTTTCCGTTCGAATTTTCCCATCGGGAGAAGTTCCATAATCCATCCAATACGGATCAGGGAGCATAACAGGACACAGGGCGAAAAATTCGATCGACGGAGAATTATATGGTAGGAAACATTAAATCGATCGTACAAGCGCACGTCGATCGCATCTCCGAAAGAAGGGGGAGACCGACCGGGAGGAGGCGAAACCATGCCCGCAAAAGTCATTGCTTGAATAGCGCCGTGCTTCTAATCTTTTTTTCAGGTTGTCGAATGTGAACCCTGGGGTCTTCATGATGTGCTTGAAGATTATTTTCGATGACGACGACGACGGCGGCGGCCGCAATGCAGTGTTCTTACCGAAGGCGACAGACGTTGAACGGTGCCAGGCGGCAAGCAATCGGCCAGCCAGTCAGTCAAACCATCCGTCCGTCAGCGAGTCAGCCGCGGGTACTGTATGGCGCCGATTCATTGTGCGGATTGACGTCAGCTTGCAAACGTAAAAATCGTCGTTCGGAGCCCTACCCGCAACGGGTCGGTACCGTAGGGTCTCCAGGAGGTGTTCCGGCCAGCTGTAGCTCCCTCCCGTACGCGACGCCGTACCGAGGTGTGTTTGAGTTGTTTGGATGTTGTAGCCGTGAACCGTAATCTTTGTTTGCGCCGAATGAATCCATTCGATGATGGCAGGAAACCGGCGGTGACGCGGGTCTTGTGTAAATTGCACGAGCTATGGATCCGCTTTGAACGATTGTCAGCAACCTTCCGATTTCGAGATCGGCGGAACATCCCCTCAGGGGAATTCCCCCTCCCGATTCCCGGAATTCCATCTGATCGAAACTTTCGGCCGGTCCCGATTTCCTTTGCGAGAAGGCCAGCACAGCGGAAGGGTTTCGCTGTGGAACTTGACAATTTTTCCCATGGCGGCACTTTATTCTTTACTTTCCGGATGATCCCATAATGAGACAATAATTCTTGTCTGCGGGCACCGTTTGGCTCGAGAGAAGAGCAATTAAAGGTCGCGGGTCAGCAGCGAAGATGCGCCGCAAATGTGCCTTGGTCTGAATTTGACCAGATATAACGTCTTTCGGGATTGAAAGAATTTTTTCTCTCATCGTCCCATGTGTCGGTCGTCATCCCGAGTGTTCTAATGGCTCTTGGATTCGCTATTGTGTTATGAAAATGTTTCTTTCGCTTTTGACATCACTAAAACCATCCTTGTGATGCTCGACCAGCCAGTGCAAGATGGTTTTTGAGATAAGCGCTTCCGTCGACGCGGGAGCTCGCAGGAATAGATGATATTCCCCAATGTTTGTCGGAAGTCCCGCAATTCGTTTCGATGTCACCGCTCCCCACTGCTTTGAACTCCAAGCGATTTCAAACTCCCACTTCATCTTCAATTTTCGGGGAGTCTAGAGGTGCCCCATTCATTACGTCGGCGGGACCCATCTACACAGCGTGGGTGGGTTGGCTTTTTTTTCGACATAGGATATCTCTGGTTGTGTCGGAAGAAATCGCAGATGTCAGGGCAGCTCCTCCGCTTGAAGTCTCTTAGTTGGATAGTTTTCAATACCGTCCCCAGGCTCATCGTCGGTTCCGGCGGTCTCGGCCGACCATCAGACCAAGGATCACGAAAGTGATATGTTCTAAACACTCGATGGACCGGACGGCGACACGATTAGATTCGCCTACGGGACTAAGTAAGCTTGCTTGTCGCTAATTCTTCACCGAGGAAGAAGAAGTGCGTCAATTTAAATTCCCGTGTGATAAGTGGTGCCTGAGCGTTTAGTCGGAACCAGAGCCTCTGAAGGATGAATGGTGACTTGGTGACCAGAAATAACGAGGAGAGCTTCTGAGCTGCGTCAGTCGGGTGACGGAGGGAGGGCCGCTTGTTTATTCAAAGCCGACGGGAGACTCATCAAAATCGGTGTGTTTCGACGATGATAATTCTCCTCGTCTGTCATTGGTTTCTGGATCATCAATAATAATGGCCCCGTGACCGCCGAAGAACCGCGCACGACGTTATGTACATCTCGTATTTTTCTCCCCCCGGGACTTCTCCTCCCGGCGGACGAGAGTGTCCAAATACAGCCAAACATTTGCATTCGACGAGAATTTTCGTCTCCTCCGGTGCTCGCGAGCGAGTTTCGGACCTGTTTGAAGAACGCGCGAAAAGAGAACGTATGATCGTCATCCGATGGATCATGTTGGGATCAGTATTCGCGTAATGACACGCCGTTAAGATTTGTGTCCATCGCGCTTCGCCGAATCAAGGTCAGACCTCCTTTCCTCGACGAGTTTCAAAGGTTGCGGTAGACTGCGGTGTCCGCCTGTGTCCCTCATCATACGTCGGCTCGCCAAGCATCCAGAGGAATTATACTCAGAGAATGCTGCGGGTCCCTCACGAAGAGACAGAGTGGGATCGACGATGTAAGAGGAAGAGCACGGTTCTCGAGGCTGCCTGGCCATCACCTCGGTCCGAGAATTTCTCCCAGACCACGAGATTTCTCCCCACCCTATCTCTGACGTCGACAATCACTTGAGAAGTTTCAGCTGTTTCGACGATCGACTGCGGGGATGATTCTGACAATACGTAGCAAATATATCAGTGATCCGCTCTCGTTCGATTCCCCGTCCCGATTCAAATCTTCTCCATGAGCTGCCGGGAGATCGCTTCCGTGCTGATATTGGCGACCGCGATCATCCCGGAGGGTTCTCGGTTCCAGCTGGCGGCTGATTCTGAACGAGTTGTAGCCCGGAGCCTGAATCGCGCGAGTGACGCCCGGCGCTCTTCCTTCCCGAAATTCTTCTGGCACTCCGGACGGTCGGCTTGCTGGCTCGTCTGTTCGCTTCTGCCTTTGGACGGGTGCACGACGAACGCCGTATTTCGTCAGGTTGGAATGGCGGCGACGACGAAGACGTAAACGTTAGCGACGGCAAGATTCCTGAACGGTCGACCGGCGTCGGAGGCGGAATTTTTCTTTAAAATACCGTGTGTGCTGTGCCCAACGACGGCGACGCTCGGCACGGACACTCACAGAACGGAAGCGTCAGCTGATGAGATCATCGTGAGGATTTCTCCCG